TTCTGGTTCATCATTGTACTTGAACTCTGTCGATTCGTAGAATGTCGGGTTCCTTCCAACATCCTTTTTAACCTACCGCACCAACCATTCAACCCGCCACCATTCGACTAGCAAACCTACATCAGTCTTATACTTCTTCCCCCGACCAAGTCTAACCTTGACATATCTGAGAGATGTACAAGCGTATTCCTTTGCGTAACGACTGCGTCATCCTACGGATCCATCTTGCCGAACATCTCAGTGTCATACAGATCTCGGGCGTACTTGATTTCCACCTTCACCTTTCTTTTCCCATCAGACATTAAACAGAATAAAAATAAGACGATTGATCAACTGATCAGGGGAGGAATCCCTCGGTGAGCAACTGCCACTAAAAGTTCTTCTTTTTTACTTTTCAAGTCGGAACGAGCATCGTCACAGCCGAAGTATCTACGATAAATTCTACAAGGAGAAATGGCAAATACTGCGCTTGGAACACGAAGCCATTCAAGACAGAATGAAACTAAGCAATGAACACAAGTCTTCAATGAACAGTAGCAGAATAGTAAACGGTGGATCTCACATTTACTCGACTTCAACGATCTTAGGCATCGGAGCGAGCTTGCGGTCATTCACGAACTTCTTCAAAACTTCCAAGTACCTGCAAAGCATGCCCACCGTCCACCGATCTATGCAGGACGATTCAACAAGCCTAAGCAACTGACTCGCTCATCAGCTCCAATCGAGTCTGTACAGGTCAGACTCGATTCGTCAAGCATAAAGCACTGACAACTTTCAATCAGTATGGGCTGCCAGCTTGAAGCCACCCCACAGAACGTAATGAAATCGCAATCGATCCGATTCAGCCAAAAATGTTAATCGTGTCAAGTGCGTGCACTTGCCCTACCTTCGGCCTCCCTTTTGCCACGTATCGTTATGAGTAGCGTTCTCGAATCTTTCGAAGGTACATTCCATTCCATTGTCGTTACAAATGTCATGCAATTTAGTCATATGAGACGGAGGTACCTGGAGGAATAGTCTTATCAGTGGAATGTTTTTCAACTGTGAGAGACGCCATGAATCGGATATAATAATTCGTCGACAATCAACCCGAAACCAATAAACATGATGTATCGAGATCTTACTATTTCATCGTCGGCTGCCGAAAGAAGCAAAACGGATGTCCTGAAAAGAATCCACTCGATAACGGTCATAATGGGCTAACATCATTGATGTCAGATGAATTTCGTCCATTGAAGTCAATCATAACTTGGTAGAGCCTCAAGTTTAATCACAGATTTCAGTGAGATTAGATCCTTTCATGACGCAAGTCGACAAATAAATGCATCCAAGTACTGATAAATACACGTATAGCAACGCAGAATATACACTAGACTGGCGTCGGACTAGTCTCTCGAGTAAACTCTCCAAGGCTTCCCTGGCAGGGAATCCCTGCCCACAGCCATTTAAGCTCTCGGAGTCGATCGAGCTACCAATAGGGCACGTGGCAATTGTATAGCTTGCATCTAGCCTAGATGTACCTAGCCACTGCGTATCCGATTTTTCCCCGAGGCCACGTGTAAACAACAGTGGGAGTGTGCTCTGTTGCTGGTTGATAGCCAGCTCCCCTCGTTTCAAATTGTCGAATCTCTCGCTCAAGTGGATGGAGTCTGAAATATTATCCGGGGGTCTTGGACGATATCATGTTCATCCGTTGTCTATATATTGATGGGTCCAGACTAGTGGGAGACCATTGCTAATTGCTGGCTGTTCACACCAAGGAGTGCTGTTGATATGCAGGAACGACTCATTTGAGTTGACGTAAGAGAAGCCACACAGATTCCACAGCATCTCAGTGCAAGAGATAATTCTGCCGCAAGGATGAGCAAATGGCACCACAGCGTGATCTTCAGACTCCGTAGATGATGGACGAGTCTTATTACCAGGTGGATCTTCAACTTCAGTAGCAATTGAGTTAATCATGCATTGATGAGGTTATTCAACAACCGCTTTCGTCAACGCCGACTCGGCATTGCCATCTCCCTG